AAAGCGCCTCTGGGCGGGTGTGGTGCTGTGCTGGAGGCCTGATGGACAGATTGTGCACTGCGGAGCACTTGCATCCTCTGATGGAGTTTGATACAGCAGTTAAACGTTGCATGCATTTCTGCAACACTGCCCAAGCTCCAACTCAGCCCCTCCCCACTACCCCGCTAATTTTTGTTTCCCAAAAATTGTAGGGGGTGCAACATGTACCAACATCACCCATAGTTTCTCAGCTCAGTTACATTAATCCTGTGTTGTTCTTTGTTTAGCTAGCAAAATGTTTACTAGAAAAACGAAACATAAAAATAAACTAAATCAAAGAGCTTGGAAAGGCCATGAGAACTTAAACTCTTTCCATACCCCAAATTAGTTTTTGTTATGTCCTGTGTTAATCACAAGTAACTAATCTGAAATAATATTAAAGATGGTTGCTAAGTGTTAGCGTTCCATTAGCTATGTTCTGATATGTATTAGCTTTTTAGCTACCGTTTGCTATCTGCTAATATGTGCTAGCCTTCAGTTTGCTATCTGCTAATATGTGCTAGCTTCCCATGGTGACACTTTACTGTGCCCAGATATTTGACACTTGTGACTTGGGGCTTCATCACGTGAAGCTGGAATGACCCCTTCGTCCTTCGGCCGATGACGAATGGGCCACCTCTGCAGCTCCGCGTTTCGTCAGTTTTGGCGCAACGGCATCAATACCTTCACCTTGACGGGGGGGGGGGGGAGGATACTTTGTGATTTATCTATCGAGTCGTCAAGTCACCCGGCTCCGCCGAACGACGCCCGAGTGGCGAGGGGGGGCAGCCAGCCAGCATTGGCCCGAGTCCTTCGGAGGGATCGGTCGCCGAGCCGGGGCAATGACAGACAAATGGGTCTTGTTAGAGAAAGCCCAAAAAAAAAAACCCGACTTGTACTAATAACAGAGAGGCCAGTGCCGGTCACCAAGGGTCTGAAGACGAAGCACCCTGTCATGGCACAGGTTGGGAAATTAGCAAATAATGTACCTCCTCCCTGATAGATGTGTGAGGGCTCCCCCTCACCAATCATTTTTTAACATTTTGATACATGTCCACGGTCCCGCTGGAGGAAACGAAAAGTTTACCGGCCCTCAGTTTTCCCGTGATGAATGGCGCCGGGTGAGTGTACAATCTCCGTATGAAGTATAGTTCATTTTAAGCAATTCCGGTAAATGGGTGTCACTGATTAGGACGAATAGTCCTAGCGGAAAGACAGTGCCACTGGTGTGTCTTATTTCTTCTAGCCTCCAGTGAGGTGTAAAAGGTTAGTCTGTCAGGAGCAGTGCCTAAATAGAAGGCAATGGCTTTGATACTATTAGATTTGAGCGCCAGGGTTTATTTATGAAACCTGTCATTGTTCGAAAGGCGCTCCGGCAAGACGCGGCGGGCGGCCGTACCGAACGGTTGTTCGTGTGGTGGCTTAGCGGGACACGTTGCTGCTGCCGTCCTCCAGGGTCGGGGCTTTGAATCCCTCTGCGTGTGCAGTTTGCGTGTTCTCTCCGTGAAACGTGTGACTGCGTGAGTCCCCTGCTATGGCATCTCTCCCAGGGTGTCTGCCGCCCTGGGCCCTATGCTCGTGCGGATAGACTCCAGATCCTCAACGGGACAAGCAGTTATAGATCGATGGACGGATAGATGGAAGTTCACGTGAACCTTACACTCTTGACATGTACCTGATTTCTCTGCATGTTTTACATTTATATATTTTAATAGGACTCTAACAAACATGTGCAACCAAAGAGCTGCAACAACTCAGTGTTTCCGAAGATGGCAGCTAACATCCCGAAACAAGGCAGTAATGGGTGGGCAGGGGGGGGCTGAGCTCTATAAACCTGTTCGATCAGTTGTAGAGGACTCCTCCGGGCGGGGGCCGTATCGACGGGGGGAGGGACGCGCCTTTGATTCTCTTCAAATGCCACTGACAACTTGTCCCCCTCCCTCCCCCCCCCCCCCCCCAACAAGCGGGCCTGATCAATGGGTTACCAATACAGGTATCTGACGGTACACAAACCCCAAGAAAAGGTGTTCTGGAACAAACAAGGTTAAAGTTAAAAATAAACAAGTACGAGAATGCCCAGGGCTTCAAGAGGAGAGAAGCAACGGGTGATGGAACGAAAGTAGAGCAGAGTGGCAGGGTGATTCAGCACTGCCATGAAGACATGGACCGGCTGACAGCACGTGTTACAGCTTGTATCATCTGAAAACGAGGGAAGCATTACCTAAACGTTCTCCAAACGTGCCCGTCTGTGGCTTTCTGTTTGCGTAACCCCTCTCGAAGGTGGCGTTCCCCCTCTCAGAGCTTTTATTTTTCTCTATGTTACGTACACTAATTTAAGACTGAACTTCTAAACGCAACTCTTGACCCAGTAAAAACACTGCGGGCTGTTAATATACGCGAGCGCCAATTAGGCTGCCTCCTCCACTGCAGCACGGCTAATTTGTTTAAAGAGAGCTGACCTCCGAGACAGCCGGTTTGCGTTGGCCATGACAGAATAGAGCTATCGACTCCGGACTGTGCGGAGACGCCATTGATGGAATCGCGAGTGAATGAACACAAAAGACTTTTAAAGCACTTCAGCGCCATGACACCTTCGCTCAAAGGGGAAAAGAAGTGTTGCCTTTTTTTTCCCCTGTAGGTAGGAGCTTGCCAAGCAAGGGCAACTGAACGGCGAAAGGCAGACAATATCGTAGCCTGGGAGACAGCTGGGCCAGTGCCAAAGTGACTGGTCCAATCCGTTTTGTTCCTAGTATTTAAAATGTGTTTGTATTTAATCAATTGCCCTTTTCAAATTCAACATGGACCAGTGCTAGATGAGTAACAGCTCTGTACGATCGCTCACACTGAATGTGTACCCTGGTGCAGGGGTGGGGGGAGTGGGTATTTTCTGTACACATCCAACGAAATCACTAGATACTGGGATGCCGCCATCGTTGTGCGCCGTGTGGTCACCCTTGTCAGACAGACATCCTTGCATGGCTGAGGTGTACAGTCTATCTGGCTATATGACATACTGATACTGACTCTCGGTAATTAACGAAAATTTTTGTTAAATGCCCCAAAAAGGCGATTTGAAACAAGGCTCGGGGTGACGGAGCGACTGGGTGACCGAGAGGTCGACGCAAACGGCTCTAAATGAGCTGTGTGAGATTGAATGCTGGGAAACCAAGCCTCCACATTGCTATGGTGGAGCGGACGGTCGCTGGAATGCATTCAGTCCGTGCAAATTACTCGCTGCAAACAAAACTACAGAGACCCTTTTTCAAACTTTTCAAGTTGAAAGAGGCTGTTTATGAGCTAATTACAACTGTAAAATGTGCAATTTGTTTCAATCAATGGAACTTATAAGAGTTTAGAGCCCATTACAATATTTCATCTTTATGACTCCTTAGAATTATTTAATTATTTCAAAGCTTTTATTTAAAAAAATAATAATAATAATAAACCTGGTTTAAATGAAGGATAAGGAAAAAACATACGTACCTCTGAGCATTGGTCAAAGTAATTAGAATAATTTCGACTGCAGCCAGGACATAATTAATATAGCTACTTATCATTTAGACGTGCATAAATATAAACAACAAAATTAGCTGTTAATTTAATTCTAAATGTCCAGCCTCTTTTGCACGCAGAGTCGTACCCTCTACGAGACAATTTACTGTTAGCCGGCAATTACACGTAGCGGCTCTTAATTCCACTCCCGAGCGTTAGCCGCTTGCGGATGGATCACTTTCTCTAATTTGACCTTACAGTGGGGGGGGGGGGGGGGCATGGCTCTGGGAATAAGCAGCACTAGAGGACGCCAGACGTGTCGTGTGTGTGTGTGTGTGACTCATTCTTTTAATTCGCCGGTGCTAATCAAGTGTGCAGTCCCAAAAATCTCCCAGGGAACATTATCTTTGTGATGGTTGGAGGGAGCAAGGAGAGGGCAGGACAGGTACAACAACAGCAACAAAAACGGCGGAGCGTTACGGCCCTGCGAGAATTCCCGCCGCAAGTGACCAAGAGGTCCGTTATTTGTCGTACGGCTGCGCATGAGTTGCTGCATCCTGCACGTAAATGCTCCTGCTCCGCATGTTGCGCTCCACCCTTTTTTTCGTTACCCTTCAGCCTTTTTGCCCCTTTGCCATTTGGAGTGAGGTGGGGGGCAGAGGGGCCAGACTGTGACCATGGTGGGGGCCGTGATAGGAAACAGCTGCCCAGGGTCGGTCTGAAGCCCAGTACCTCTTTCCCAGTCCCACAAAGTTTTTGTGCCCCGAGTCCGGGTTCAGGCCACGGGTTCAGTTTTCAAGGAGCGAAAGTAATTCCTGATGATTATCTCACTGTCCTCCTCAATTTCAGATTAGACAGAAGCTTCCAGGTCAGACAGGCTTTGACCCCCCCCCAGCCCCCCACGTCTCCTGACAACAGATAAGGCTCCACATCCTTCTGTCGCGCTCTCTGTTCACATGAGTGGATTACAACGGTACAGCTGGTGAATATCACATGCAAACACACATACATGCACACACACACATACATACATAAGCATATGCATCTGTGCTCGGATAGTGCTAATATCCTCTTGTCCTTAAGTGAGGAGCCCAGGATCCATCAAAAACACACAAATGCACAAACATACACAAGAATAAAGATATTTTTATGGACAGCAGGGTGGATTGTGGGAGTAGTCACATGACCTCCTGTAATGGCTAGAGATTAACAGGACGTGGCAGAAGCACCCACTCCACCCCCACCCCTTTGAGAATGGGGGTCTGAGGGGGGGATAGAGTTTCAGAGACTCGCCCCCCCCTTCCTAACCTCTCGGCGGCGAGACTCTCACACATTCTCCATCCCTGAGAGAGGGGGCCACGTCGTTCCAGCCAGGTGGGCCGCTTGCCCCATGTGGTAATAGCACTTAGCAGACCATGAAGATAGTGCAGAAGATGGGTGGAAAGAACCGAGTGGGTGGGTGGGGGAAGGGGGATTGAGAGTGCCCTTACCGGTGTAGACGAATCGACCGGGGGCTCCTTTGCAGAACTGCTTGGACTTGTAGGAGAGGGTGACTTCCACCACACCGGGGATGTGTCTGGGAGGGGTCTGTACTCGGATGGCGTGGGGAGTTATCAGCTGCAAGAATCAGACCATCAGTGAGGAGGGGGGAGTCAGCCCCCTCAACAACACCGGAGCCTGCCGGTTCAACCTAATTACCCGAATGCATCTAAATCAGGGCCGCAGTCTAACGAGTCTCCCTCGGTGTGGTCTGGCTTAGTATCCTGCAGTTTTTAGGGAAAATGTCTGCAATTTATCCTTGGCTTTCGATTTTTTGCAGGAAAGGCCAGAGGGCATCGTTCACACAAAAATTGCCTCCATATGTCTCTCCGTGCTGTTTTTTTTTCTCCCCCTCCTCGTAATATTTCAGCGCTAATTGTTCGATTGTATTGCGGGACCTCCTGGTCCTAGCTCAGGACCAGATGCTAAGGTAACCCTCGGGTTCGCCCGTCTAACCGGATCTGTTTCTTATTCACCAGTGTGAGCCGGGCATCATACCTCACTCCAGACGAGCATCGTCCCGAACACGACTTGCAGGCCGTCAAAGAAGTTGTCGCCGATGATGATGACCGTGGCTCCGCCCGTGGTCCATCCTTCGCTGGGGCTGATGGCTTTTATGCAGGGGGTAGCTGCTTATACAAGGCAGAAAAAGGGGGAACTTAGGACCCAGATTTCCTCAACCCCCCCCCCACCCAGTGACAAACCATGCAAAGAACAATAAAAGCATGAATGATTGTTCCGCCAGGCATGAAGAAGACACAAACATACATCAGCGGACAGCGTGTAGTTAAGGTGGAACGTTAAACGCTCCGCACCGTGAGGTCCGAGTGGCGGCGGCGCGAGAAAAATGGCCCCGTGCCGCAAATTGTGTGTCGGGGCAAATATGGCGATTACAAATGATTAAGCGGCACATGCGTGTGGCATGTCCATTTATCTGCACCGCTTTCCCAACCGAGGCAGAGTCAATCAAAGGGCCGTTGAGGGAACAGACAGAGTGGGATTGGCTGAGTCCGACGAACGGGTATTTGGGTTTGGTGATTTTTTAAATTCTATTTATTTTTTTGGTCCCCTCACACTCTGCAACAACTTCTGCACCTTGACTGACGTGATTTCTGTGTCAGAGGACCGGTAGGGACCAGCAGGCGACCCGCCGAGGACCGGTGAGTCCCATCTGAACCGGCCCTAGTCCCCGCTTTGATACAGCCCGTTACACAAAGCACACACCCCCGCTGTCGTGGCTCCGATCCTCACTGCACTCCACATTTCAGAGGGGGGGGGGTGGGCTCGTTTGTTGATGTTGACCCAGGAAAGCCATGTGGAGCTTGCTTTCAGATGAGACATCACAGCCTACTAAATAATTTAGATGCATGCGTTTCTCTATCTTTAAAGGCTTTTAGCGTAATTGAGATAATTCCACTAAATGTATCTTTGGATCAGTTCACTCTGCACTGATTTTTTCTGACTCCTCTTTAATATACAATTTCGCTCCATTTCACAACTTTGATTGTCCAGTAATGTCTGCGATGAAACGCAGGCAGAGGACAAAACAACACAAATTGCTAAATCGTTACTGACACCAAACATCAGTAAGAATATAATATTAGAAAGCTTTATTTAACAGGTGGTAAAATTGGGAAATATCGTTAACGATACAGATGTTCCTTTGGCAAAGCACTATAACGAAATTCTGGGTGAAATCCTTCAGTTCCCTGCCCATCCATCACAGGAACCAAGTTCTCGCTAATAATCGCTATTAGCTATTGTTGTGTAGAACACATCAGACAAGCGGACCTCCTTTGTTTGCTGTAATGTTGGACTAGTGGAGGTTATATTTGTTCATTCCGCTCCCAGCACCCCCCGCCCACGAACCCCCTACTCAATCCCCCCCCCCAACCCACACCTCTGAGGCCCCGAACACAAACACCGGGAGCCTGGCCTTAGCTAGTGCTGTTGACTTCATGCTAATAAGTTAATACAAATTTTCATTTCTAAGGCTTGCGAGTGACATTTGCTTTTCTTAATTGCAGGCAGCGCATTTGAAAAGGATCAACTCTCTAAAGACAGACATGTCTCCTCAAAGGGGGTGACCTTCATCAGCCCTGCCAATTATAGCAAATAATTCACCAAAAATTACAGTAAACAAATTTACTTTGTGTAGGTGAGAGGAAATGTGTGTTTGGGAGAGGGGTCTGTTTGAGGGGGGTTGTTGGGGCACAGTGGGGGGAGTGGCTGACAGCTGGGGCAAGAGCCTGCTGCAGGTTGCCTCGGAATTTACACCACCTTCCACGGAAGCGGCTCCCCCCATAGGGCAAGTCCTCCGGTGACTCGAGCCGTCTCCCTTCTGCCTGAAATTTGCATACATCTCCATGCGTACGTGGGTGTGGGGGGGGGGAGAGACATGTGTTCAACGGGGAACCGTGGCCAACCGAATTACGCGGCCAGGGGGGCTGGTGTTGTGACGTACGTGCACAGTGCTCCTGAGCAGCTGATGGAAGAGGGATGGGCAGACAGAGACGACAGGCTGGGGAAAGCCCCGGAGGAGGCGGCCGCCTCGTTTCGGTAAGGGGATGCAAAAGGAGTAGAAAACAAATCATGTGGCTCTTTCTGTTTAGATTAACATGCTGAGATGTATGGAGGGTCTATGGAGTGCAAACGAAACGCATAGTGTTAGCTTACGACAAATATGCAAATTTAACGATCATTTTAACAATAAGTTGTCTTGGGTCACCGATCTTGGTCCCTGAATTAGAATCGCACACATTATCTGACCCACTCGTGTTTTTTTTTGTTTTGTTTTTTGTTTTTTTTTACGATTCAGAGCCCATTACTATGCTGGAGATCTGGTCCATGTAGGTGCCGTCCGTCACGGCGTGGCAAATCCGTGGCTTTGTCTGGCCAACCTTTTGTGCTGCGGATGGACGCCGTTAAAGTGGCCGGGGGATGCCGGCGGACTTTTAAGCACCCTTCGCCCCCCAACCTCTGCTACAGGGCCACCCCTGTGTATTATTTACGTCGGCAGAGCGCGGTCGCACGCAATAACCAGTGCTGGGCGCTAGTGGCCCTCCAGTCCGCCGACAACAGCTCAGCACTCAAACAGGTCTCATCTTGCCTGGCTGAAGTCTCCTTTGTTCTGCCTGCTAAAATGTCTTGTAATTGTGCTCGGGGACGGCCAGATGGCTGCCGATGCTTCAGCTGACGGGATTATACCTTCTACCTCTCCTAGAGCCATCTGTTCCCTTTAACTGGCTAAACCCCTGCAGCCTGCATTCAGTTGTCTTTATTGCATGAACCTAACAGCATTACAGACACTTGGCATGCAAATGGGCCCAGCGCTGTGAGCGCTTCCACACAGGGCTGCGTAGCGGCGAGTGCTCACGCACGGGGTGAGGCCGGGGTCGTCCGTGAACCATGTGTGTGTGCGTGTGGTTATCTCTCATACCAATTGCGTGTCTCTGTGTGTTTTATTTATAGGCAGTTCCGCATGCATTTGTGTATAAGCGTTGCCGGCCGTGTGTGTAAGCGGGCTTCATGCGCGTTTCGTTACACATGTGCGATTCCGCGTCGGGTTTGCGGGAGCGAGTCGCGCCACTTCTGCGCCCCGCCCGTGTCTCCGTGTGTATCTCTGTGCTCGGGTCCACCCGTGGTGGGGTTTGCAGGACACTCGGACAGCGCAAAGGCTACCAGCTACCGTGCCATCAAACAGGGTCACCCCTGTGACACTAGGTGACGCTAACTGAAAGCGGCTTTGAAGTGAGCGACCAGGAGAAGCTCGCAGGAAGGTAAAAAGAGACAGACACGGTCCTCACATGCGTATCGTCTCATGGGGAGAGGGTTTGGGGAGGGGGGGCAAAGAATGTGTTGCTAATCTGAAGCATACTATCTCTGCACCTAGGGTCAGGCCTTCATGGTGAACATGGATGGGATTAACATCTATTACTGTAAATCCTGCTCATGAGGGGGAAAAAAGTCCTGTCTAAATGCTTCTCCCTTTAGAGTGTATGTTTTTTTAAAATATTTGGCTGATGCTTCCATTCTTCCACTACTGCATTTCTTAAAAAAAAAAAAAAAAAAAAAGAACAGCAATGAACAGTGTTAATCACACCGTAATGACGTTAACAGGATGCTGGGGAGGTGAGCATGCATGCGGGTGTTTGTAGAGCATGTAGCCGCGTATGCAGAGGCTGCCCCCCAACTGGTGTAATTTGCCCGTAAATCCTTCTTTCTTATTCGATGGAGACAGTCAACGTGGGGACCTCGTGAAGCGATTCCCAGGCAAAATGTGAATGATTTGGCAATAAAACACGGTTGTGGCAGGGTGTCTGTGCTTTGGAAGATGCGACGATCCTATGACGGGTGGGGAGTGTTTGGAGAGGTAGGGGGGGTGGGGGGCAAGGACCTCTGTGTGGAACACTCCCAAAACTCCCAAGAGGCTACAGACATCAGGAGAGGAAAGCCTGACCTGCCCTAATTGCTCTCCTCATTAAAGCCCGTTGCTAAGCTCGACACACCTACCGTCTAGCCACCATCGCCGCGGTGGAGTAAACAATACGTCACACGACATAATGATTTAAATGCTCCGAGCAACCTTTAATTATCATATTTTTGTTCAGCAGTGTAATCATTAATAAGTGGGGGGGGGGAGAGAAAAAAACAAATAAATTTGCTTCCCCTCGTACTTAAAAACCATCATTTGTCTTTGCGTTCATTTAAATTTTTTTTTCTGGGGTGACGTTACACCTTAGTCCTGCCTTGGTCGTGCCGTAATTAATCCCTGACAGGCGCAGGACGAGGGGATTTGGGTTGTTGTTTTAAACATAATCGGTGTTCAACCCCTGTTCTGGCTGTCACATTACGGCATAGATAACTAATTCAGCCTGGCAAACTCCATTTTTCCATAACCTTTAAACTGAAAGCAGTCCAGAAGCTGAAGAAGGCAAATGTTAGGGGAGGGGGCGGGTCTTTACATTTGAATTTCCCAGAGTCCTCGCATCCCATTTAAAAAAAATTTTGTCTCCTCCATGAGCATTTTTCCATTATTTTTCAGATCAGGCAATCGGTCAATCATATGGAATCGGTTGGAGGTGCTGTTTTTCCCATAGAATCACCCCCCCCCCCCCCCCCCCGCAATCTTTCCTATGAGTAGTGGGACCCAGCAACAGGAAACTGACCCCCGGCACATATTTTTGAAGTTAGATCATGTTTTTTTTTTATGTTTTCTTTTCTTTTGGCTTCCATGCATGTCAGACAGCGAGAATCACACAGATAATAACAGATAATAGATTATACATATATAAAAAAGTGTTTTTTCCTGCAAACTCCAGGTGTCTGTTTCCAAATGTTTAAAAAATGGCGATAAACAACAACATCGGCGACAATATCGGCGGCATGAAGAATGAAGAAGCGGACAGCAACTGAAAGTTGAAGATGTTGAAGGAGCGAGCGGTCTGCAATGAAAGACGAGAGAAAAGGAGGTGATGGTGATCGAATTCGAAGGGGGAAGCAAACGGGTGAGGAGGCCACCAGAGTAACTGGCAACTAGAGAGGAAAGGAGGAAGACCACCTACAGAGGAGGTGTGGGAGAAGCGAAGGGAAAGGGAGGGAAAGAGCATCAACGGAAAAGGGAGGAAGAAGGTTTGCAAATTAAAGGAGATGTAAAATGTGCCTACCATTCTCCAGATAAGGAGGGGCCGTACCTTCTGAAGGGTCAAGACGACGAGCCCTTCTCCCGTGCTTGGAGTTGTTGTGTACGAACATGTTGTCCGATACGGCCAGGACATGGCCGTCCACATTGACTGTTGTCGAGACAACAACCTGCAAGGGAGAAAAGACGGGGAGCCCGTCAGCCCATGCTTTTTCGGCGGGAAACGCTCGGGTGCCGACAGCAGCTCATGCAAAGGCAGCATCCCCCAAACCCCAAGACGGCAGCTTGTTCCAAACACGGCTCGTGAGCGTGAGGGAACCTGAATTGTCGGGCCGCCATGGGTCGGACACGGTCAGGTTCTGCTTCTCCGCACCAGCCTGGCTGCCCCTCCTGGTTTTCATCCGATTCTGAGAACCGTCTGATTGTTTTACACCATCGGAGCAAGGGACAAAATCCCCGAACGGAATTCATAACTGGAGCATATATACCTGGCCCCTCCACGCAGATGTTTATTTTCCAGCATGGAAAACATGTCTCGTCTTTTTTTTTTCTGACCTAAGCCTGTCCGAGTGAATGTGCCCACATGTTTCACGTTATTAAAACAATGTATTATTTTAAACTGAAGGAGCCTATTATTGCACCTTGAGTAGTGCGGGAAAATGGCGTTCGGAATCGGTGCTGTTTTCTCAGCTTTAAATACTATAACAGAGTCAGTCACTGAAACAGAGAGGGCTGGGGTGGGGGGAGGGGAGCCATTGACAAAGAAAGATAAACTTGTCTAAGTCTGAAAGCAAATGAAATTCATTTTAAAAAAGCAAAATAAAACAAACATTCCAATGTCTTAACTTCCTGTGTTGTCATAGTGAGCAATGGTCCAGTTGAAGAGTTTCTCTCGCAGGCCTAAGTAGACACAATGTATACTTATGTCTTGAATTCTCTCTCTTTTTCGTTCATTTTGATTTGTTGTCTAAACCCCTAAGCAACTAGCTATTCAGCTAGGCTTCCCCACTCGAACGATTATGACATTCAAAATGCTTAACCCCGCAACAATTACAGCCGACGGCAGCGCTAACGAACGAGCCTCATTAGATGGAGAGCGGCCCCCGCCGTTTGTGGAGTTTACGGCATCATGTTCGGGTTCCTCCCCGCTAACGGCCACCATATCCATCGATATGTCGATCGGCTGCGCCGTCTAATTAGGCTTCAGAGGCGGCATTGGAGAGGAGGCGGTCCGGCTTTTTCCGACAGAGCCGTGTGCCAGCGGACCGCCCGTTTTCTATTTAGTAAACAATCCCCCTGGTCAATTTTGCAGCCGCATTAAATGTCTGATAATGAGGCTTTTGCATGTGAATGGAGGGCTACTTATGAATGGCGGAAGTGTTTTCAGGCCGGAGTGAAACGAAACTCCTCTCAGGTCGGTTTCGGTGCTGATCGAGCTCAGCGTGTCAATGGAATTCTGTACTCTTTTTGTCGTTTTTTTTTTTTTTTTTTTGGACTGAAAGGGCTTCTTTCTTGAGTCCAGGTTCAGAAGCGGGCCATAGAACGCATGATGGATAGACACCCTGCCGGGCGCCGCAACGCTTTGGGGTGAGAGGCGGAAAACACAACGAGTAAAACACACACCCTCCGCAGCCGAACGGGCCACTCCAGCGACTCCGCAATGGGAGATACGCCGGACACACAAAGAGAAAAGGATCTCTGCTTGTCGTCCACCTCCTCTTCTTCATCTTGTTGTCGTTCATTGCTGGCATTTAAAAAAAAAAAAATCCAATACTGTCCCTGCTGTGGTTACAATAGTGAGATTGTTTGCGTGTTGTTGCCGTTGTTTGGAACCAAACGATTAAATAGGTCCAGCCCTCAACTGCAACAAGCGGCTATTTAAAAACAAACAAGACAGATAAAATAAAAAAGAACGGGGGGTGGGGTAATCCTTGAGGGAAGGGTTAAAGGTATATGAGTGGGGGGCTGCATGTTGAAGATTCAGCTGCAGATGAAGGT